GTAGAAAAAAGTTAAACTTAACCCCGCCCACCGTGTTCTTTCATTTTTACTTCCCGAGCGTAAGCAAAGGAAGTATTGTAATTGAGTCCGTCGGCCGACTCTCTACTTTTACGTTTTCTCGATCTTTCATGACCCCTAGAAAACGTAGAAATAGGTCTCCTAATTCCGTCTGTCTGTCCGTCTATCCGTCCGTCTGTCCGTCCGTCTGTCCGTCCGTCTGTCCGTCCGTCTGTCCGTCCGTCTGTCCGTCCGTCTGTCCGTCCGTCTGTCCGTCTGTCCGTCTGCCGTCCCGGATTTTTATTAGACAGATAATCTCCGAAAGTACTCGACCGATTGTTGTGAAATTTTGTACTTATATTAAGAATATCATGTAGATGGTAAAACGCTAACCAAAATTTGTCTAATCATCCTCACCACTAATGCGATGACGTCACTTCAAAATTGTACATAGTAAATGGGTTGTCAATTGTATAAAATAACATAGTCCTACACATGTAGTTTACAACAACAATCGACTTTTCACCCGAAACGTCCAGCTTTTTGGAAAAAAAATCAAAATTATAAAACAACATTTTGAAATTTAATTTTTAATCTGCTAACCAGAATGCTTTGGAATGTTGCAGATGTTTTAAGGCTATAAAGAGCATCATAAATCTTTAGTCAAAAAATATTTGCTTGTCCCCTCCAAAAACTTGATGACGTCAGCTCAAAAGTTTGTGGAATAAATCATATCTAAAATGTACAAAATATGATGAGTCTGTACTTGTGATCTATCACTCCATTCATATTTTTTGGATTTGCATATACAGGGTGACTCAAAAAAATTAATGAATGCGTAAATATATTTTACTGATTTACTCAGAAACTACAAAACCGAATGCTTTGAAATCTTGCAGATGTTTTAAGGTTATAAAGAACATAATAAATGTTTAGTCAAAATATATTTGCTTATCCCCTCCAAAAACTTGATGACGTCAGCTCGAAAGTTTGCCGAATAAATCCTATCTAAACTGTAAAAATATGATGAGTCTGTACTTGTAATTTATCACTCCATTCATATTTTTTGGATTTGCATATACAGAGTGACTCAAAAAAATTAATGAATGCGTAAATATATTTTATTGATTTAATCAGGAACTACAAAACCGAATGCTTCGAAATCTTGAAGATATTTTAAAATTATCATAAGCATGGTAAATTTTTGATCAAAATGTATTTGGTCGTCCCCCCTAAAAAATTTATGACGTCACCACAAAATTTTGCTGAATAAATCCTATCTAAAATGTACAAAATATGGTGAGTCTCTTCTTGTGATTTATCATTCCATTCGAATTTTTTCGATTTGCATATACAGGGTGACTCAAAAAAATTAATGAATGCGTAAATTTATTTTATTGATTTAATCAGGAACTACAAAACCGAATGCTTTGAAATCTTGCAGATGTTTTAAGGTTATAAAGAACATAATAAATTTTTAGTCAAAATATATTTGGTTATCTTCTACAAAAAACTGATGACGTCAGCTCAAAAGTTTGCCGAATAAATCGTATCTAAAATGTACAAAATATGATGAGTCTGTACTTGTGATTTATCATTCCATTCATATTTTTGGATTTGCATATGCAGGGTGACTCAAAAAAATTAATGAAGGCGTGAATTTATTTTATCGATTTAATCAGGAATTACAAAACCGAATGCTTTGAAATCTTGGGAATTTTTTTAAAGTTATTATAAGCATGGTAAACTTTTGTTCAAAATGTATTTGTTCATCCCTCCTAAAAAAATTGATGACGTCACCCTTAAATTTTGCTGAATAAATCCTATCTAAAATGCAAAAACTATGATGAGTTTGTACTTGTGATTTATCATTCCATTCATATTTTTTAGATTTTCTTAAGAGGTGGTTCAAAAAAATTAATGAAGTCAATTTATTTTATTGATTAAATTAAAAGCAACACTTATTATTAGTATTACACCCCAACCAACCCAATTTGGTAGACACAAAATGTGTTAAAGGAAAAACTCAGTTGAAACATAAGGGTAGCACGCTTATTTACATCGACTTTAACATTACAGACCTGCATTTGTTTTATGCGCTCACTTGGTTCCGCGAATGTGGAATAGACATGTTTATAATCAACCAATTGTGAATTTCACCGTCAAGAATTAAAATAAACCCAATGTTTTATATAATAAGCGGAAGTCGAAGCAATAAAACCGATGGTCGTTTTGTTTACAGTTTCTCTGTTTGACTCTCACGTATGCTGTTACGCTTGTCATCTTAAATTAAGAATGTTTATACATAAACGATTTTCAGTTGCCCCTCATATTACTAGACAGCGGATTTCTGTCGGGCTACGTCACGATTATAGGGGGGGACGTGCTGGATCGCCGGGTGATAGATAATCACTGAATTTAATCGGTACTAATTCCATAAATATAATTAACGATTTATTAATCAAACGGCTAAGTAAATGAGAACGGGAATTAACAGCAGAGTGCAACGAAACAGCGTTATTCTAATCTCAAATAAACGAAGTGCAGTCCGCAACCGCAATGAATTCGCATCCCGTACGAGCCGTACCGAGTTTGGCCTTGCCTAGCCCGACAGAAATCCGCTTTCTAGATATTACACACCGGCGCCGTATACGTGAGTAAATTGTTTCGTTATTTTATTGATTATAAGAAATCAATATTCAAAACGACCCAATTCATTTTCCCGAAAATTTGGGAATACAATAATTTTATTCTTAGTATTACACTACATCTATCCCAACTGATATACTTGTCCTTGCAAAAATGTTGATGACGTCATCACAATTTTTTTTAAATTCCCACTACAAAAATGTAATGAGAAAAAAAACACAATAGGCATGCAGTCGTCAAGTTTCCGACAGCGAGGGAAGTACTGTCTAAACTCTTTAGACCAATTTTTTTTTTCACATTAGATTTTAAAACATTGGGTTTTGTAGTTCCTGATTAAATTAATAAAATACATTTGCGCATTCATTAAATTTTTTGAGTTACCCTGTATATCCGAATCCAAAAAATATGAATGGGATGATAAATTACAAGAAGAGACTCATAACATTTTGTACATTTTAGATAGAATTTATTCAGCATTAGTGAGTGCATTAGTCGAAATTAAATGCCCTTCAAAATCGCAAGATTTGTCTCCCGAAGAAGCGGTTAGAAAAAAATAATCAAATTTTGTACATTGACAGACAGATAATTGAAACCAAAAAAAAAATCATGATTACTACTTTCAAGTCCAGGGACAAATCCTTATTTTTTTGTGTGGACACCCAAAGGAATTAATATAGGAAAAAAACGAAGAAATATGTAAAAAGATGGCAGATAAACTTGGCAGATTTTACTTTGGCGCATTATTGCCCGAAATAATTGATTCAAGAAGAAAGAGGAACCTGCTTTTGCGAGAGATTTTTTTAAAATAAATAACATTTGTTTCCATTTTTTTATGTACTTTAATAATTTATTAGGAGTACCTTTTTCATCACCAAGATTTGCATATTTTTATTATAAATATATTTTGAAAATGATCTCTCGGCAAATGAAAACATATACGAGCACTTTTTTCGAGTAAACAATGAAGGGAGAAGTTACTGGACGTAGGGCCTTTTTAAAACACCTCCTTTCTGGGATAAGTAGTAGATACACTTAGCTACTTACACGTGTTAAACAAAAGCTGTATTTTATATATTTTTCATTATTATTATAAATATGTTTATTAGTTTTATTAATTAACAAAGCAAAATATATGTTAACAATAATATTACAATGAATTTTTAGTAATCATCTGTATTGAATTCAGGATCCTGAGTGCAGTAAAAATATTATAGTTCCCCAGTTTTAATTCGGTTTTATGATAGTACCTCATTGCGTAAAAGTTAATTTCCTTAACAATAGATTACTTCGGCCGGTCCTGGCGGCTTGTTATAAAACTGAGTTCCTTGCCATAAATTAGAAAAATCAGCCGAGAACGCTAACAATCAGCTTATGGTAGAGCAGGCGATAAGGGTTTTACCCGAAAGTCGCTTCCGTAAATTTTAGTGGCGCTCATATCGGCAAAGTACTGAACTAACGGCTCAAAATCTGTCGAATTAATATCCATTTTTTTCAATAATTGTTAGTTTTTGTTAAAAACTCTGCTAACCAATAGCTCATTAATTTTCCTCTGATATTCCTGTTAAAATTATTCGACGTATTGCATTAATTTGTGGTATATTTTGATTTTAATAAACACATTATTATTTAAACAAATTGTACCACTAACAAACATTTAATTAAAAAGTGATGTTTTATCCACGTGCGAATTTTCAAGCGATTCTATGATGGCTATGACTCAAAAAACTTGAAAAGAAAACATACAGGGGTGCTTTTTTTACGATATTTCTCAGCCATATTTTTTTAACTGATTGAACTGGTCTCTGCGCTCTAGAATATGAAAAAAGCTGCAGTTTGATGTATGATACATCTATATTAATATCATTTTTTCATACAAAAAACCAAAAAAATGTTATACCTCGTCTAGCGTGTCCCCTTGATTTGATACGTGGGCAAAATTTTATAACCCGCGAAAAATTCAAAAATTTTACCTTGAACAAAAAAGCTATTCAAAAATACATTAATTATATGGTAGTGCCATTTAAAAAAATCAAGTTGGCCTTGCATCTCGAAAACAAATTCAGCAAAAAATTTTTTTTGACGTATCAGTTTCCTGCCTAAACTGCACTTACCTCTTTTCATTTTATATGGTCAGAACTTTGTTTCTTCCTGACAAACCACGCTACTTTGTATTGTTCATACACTAAAATTTTTTTTAATTTAGAGTTGGCTGCGATCAGCGCACGTCGGGCATGATAAACAGCGAAGCAATGGTTATTGAAAAGAAATAGGATAAGTTTAGCTACATTAATCACAGCTTACCCTAAATAAAAATTTAACGAATCATACTGTATAGCAATAGTAGTTTAAAATAGTTACAAAACTAAGTCATTTATTTTTTTAAGTACACAACAATAGCACATTTTTCCAGGCAGAATAAACAATGCATCTTAAGTAACACATTTTGAATTATTTTAACAAAAACCTACGTTACATTGACATTTCAAAACAAAATCTTATGATTCGGTACTCGTGGCTGCAACTTCTGCAACCTCATCACCAAGTATTTCGTGTTGATCTAAAATGTGTAACTTTTCCAAAGGTGGAGTAATTCCAATGTCATATTGCACTTTTTTACTTCGTAAAAGACTGTATGAATTATCAAACGTAACAGTATCTAAAACAATGAAAAATTATTATTGATTGAATTGATCAAGAACTGTTTCTCATACACGTAGCTTGTGCCTGGCACGCGATGACTCCGGCTTCGTCCACCTGGTGTGCTGCTACGCGTTTGTGATCTATAACTGGCGTAATATTTCCATCAGCGTCTTTCATTGTTATTCCGAAACGGATATCGTGTTCTTCTGTTCGAAAATCCCACCTAAAATTTCTCACATCTCAAATACTACTGTGAAACTGTGTCCGTTTGAATTACTTTAAAAAGCTTCCTTCTTCGGTAGCTACAAAGTCTAGTGATAATTTATCGCCCTTTTTAATAACCAACGTTGTGTATTGCTTTGCTGGTAAGGTATCTGAATTTTGTTCATAGTGTCGTTTATATAAGTGCCTGGGGACTTTGCCACCTTGTACTACCTTAAATTAATTGCAAGATTTAAGTACACAACACACAGATGGCGTGATATACCTTAGTTGTATAATGTGGATTTCCGTCTGCATCTTTTAAGGTTCCTCCGTAATGTTCAGGTAAATTTTCTGCTTCTATATTCTCCAATAGGACTTTTTTCCATTTTTTGGGATCGTTTTTGAAAATTTGCATTTTTCCCAAAGTGTACTCATTTAAGAATCGCTTGACGACATTGAAGGCGATAGCAAATACTGGTGGTGCTAAAATTAATAATAAAAATGTGTACAGATTTATTTCAAGTTAAAACTTCACAAAAAAATTAATCTTAAATTTATATAAAATGATGATTTTTAACAGTCAAACACATTTAACAGATACATTTCTATTTAAAAAACTTCAATACTACAACTGATTTTTTGGAGAATAGCTCAATGTTATGAATATTTTCTCGACGTTTCATGGTCCTGAGAGTACGAAAAAGTGGGTCTCCCATTTCCGTCCGTGTCAACATTTATTGTCTGCTGTCTGTTTATTCCGACAAAAATTCCCCCGCTCCTGAAGTACAAATCCAACAAATTCCGCTTGGTTGAAAAATTATAAAATCAGATTTTACGATGTTTGTTTTGTGATAACCTACATAAAGTAAAAACCAACGGCATAAATAAGACCCCCGCAGCCCCTTCGCCGTGGGGGCGCGAATTGCAAGCGATTGTGTATAGACTCATCACATTTTGGACATTTTAGATAGGATTTATTCGGCGAAATTTTGAGCTGACGTCATCAAATTTTTAGAGGGGATATTTAGGATATTTTGATTAAAAATTTATTATGCTTATTTCAACTTTAAAACATATGCAACATTTCAAAACACTCGGGTTAGTAGATTCAAAATAAAATTGCAAAATGTTTTATAATTTTGATTTTTTTCCCAAAAATCTGGACGTTTCGAGTAAAAACTCAACACGGAGTCATAAACTACATGTGTAGGACTATGTTATTTTATACAATTTGAAACCCATTTACTATGTATAATTTTGAAGTGACGTCATCACATTATTGGTGGGGATGATTAGACAAATTTTGGTCAGCGTTTTATCATGTACATTATAGTCCAAATATAAATATAAAATTTAATAAAAATCAGGACGACAGACAGACGGAAACGGGAGACCTATTTCTTGGTACTCTAGGGGTCATGACAGTTCGAAAAAACGTAAAAGTAGAGAGTCGGTCGACGGAAAGAAAGGAAGAAGACTTTGATCTTTGTCATTAAGAATACAAATTTTTAATTTCGAGAGATATTGGACACAACACAATAACAGAAATCTTACGTTGTAGTTATTCTGTTGACTCACCGCTCAACTTCAAAAATTAATTGTAAGGAAAACTTGTTACTAATTACCTTGTTTTGCAAAAATAATTATTTCAGAGCGTTAATTACAATTTTGATGTAGATCGATTTCAAAATTCTTGTACTGTATACGTACTATGGTTAAAAAAGTGGTAGAAGGTTATTTCGATATAATTTCCCTCGCCCTTGAAGTATAACCCGACAAAAAAGCGGCATAAATAATACTGCGCCGCAAAAATGCAAATTCTTGGAATTTGTGCTCCAAAGTACAGACAATGTAAAATATATTTAAAGGAGATAACTAACGGGGTAAAGTGTCCTCTCAGAATTAATAACAAGCATAACTCTAGTGCTTATGTTTATACATCGAAAAAATGTCACAGAGAAATCAGTCTGGTTTGAATGAGTTTGTTTCCTCAAAACAGAGGACTAAAATTATGAATTAACCCACAATCGAACGAAATGTTCTGAATAACACTATTAATTTATTAAGTAAAGACATGCCTATTCTCACGTTTTTGAAAAAATAAAGTAACTCGTTCTTAATCTGAACGCCTTGGCCACGAGGCCATAATCGGTTATATCTATATCCGCATTTAGCGATAAAAGGCTATTATACTGCGTTAATTTTTTTGCCACGTACACCACAAGTATAGAATTCTATTGTTGTATAACATTTAAATCATTTTGAAATATAATTTTTAAAATTACGTCATCAAATTGTTGGTGGGGATTATTAGTCAAATTTTGGTTAGCGTTTTACCATCTACATATACCTATATTCCTAATACACATACATACAAAGTTGAACAATCGGACTAGCAGTTTCGGAGACGTGGCTAATAAAAATTGATCCAGACGCTAGCAGATTACTACAGAGTAGAGACCCTAGATATACTTTGGAAAAGAGTTGTGACACGAAACGTCAAAATTAATGGTAAATTTTATTTTACTATGCTGGCTACGGATGCCTTTTTTGAGTCATGTTTTGACAGTTTGTAATTGTCATTTAGTACATAGACGTGGAAGAGAATAGTCATCGTCTGTTGTATACGAAACTGTAGAAATACAGAAGCAAATGGTTTCTCATTGTTTAAAGGCCCCGAAAACAAGATATTACTTAACAAATGGAAAGAAGAGAGATGCAATATCCATCTTGAAAAATTGGCAAAAGGGCTTACATTTGCGAGGTTGTTGTCCGAAATTGTATTTTCCATCTAATCCTTGGTCAACAGGTTCACTTCAAAAAAGAGAATTTTATATTTCAAGTGAATGCAAAATATGTGAGAACGCAACAATAAAACAATAGAAGAAGCCATTAAAACAAAAATTTGTCTGTGGAACATCAGGACATAACTATATCTTTTGAATATAAATTTTCCGTTACCTTCAAAGTGGAACCCTATGCCGTAAAATTCAGTACATACCGTTTTTACCAGGAATTTTACATGAAATTTTTACCTATTTAACAATCTAAATTCAAAATTTTAACGATTAGGAAAGAGATTATTGTTTATTTTTAGGCGAAGCAGCAATCAATCCAGGTAAAGAATACTGTCGACGTTCCTCATTACTTTTGGGAAACAACATTTTAACAAATTTAAATCAAGTCGCTACCTATGTTTTGTTCTTTATGTTAGAAGGTGTAAGCTTACGATGGAAGCAAATCGTAGGTTATCATTTTACTGGGAATTCCACACACGGAGACACATTATCTAGAATTGCAAAAGAAATTAAAATCAAAAGTTTGTACTTTTGATTTAAATTTTTGTAGTTTTTGTAAACGCAGTTCCAAAATTCAGTATTTAACCCAAATAACAAAAGTAGGAATGTTGATTTTGCTGCTAACGCTCCACCTTCATCTAAAAATGTTCAATCCAACATCATGTATTCTTCGGCAATTTAATTAATTGTTTGTGGAACATTTCTTAATTATTTCGAGTTACAGAAATTCGATGACCATGCTTCTTTTTGTATTTTTTTTTCATTGTTATTTTAATTAAAAGATGTAACAAATTTTAACTTGTAAGTTATATTTAATATAGAGGCACATGAATCTATATATTTCTACTGAGATTATTCTACATATCAGAGCAAATATTCATGATGGAAATGTGAGGACGTTGTAGAAACACTGTTTATCATAGAGTAGTAGATAGAGAACCTACTAAACATGCTTCAAATTTCTTACCACGGTGCCGTTCGTTAAATTACAAAATGTTGTTTTGACCAGCAGAAGCAAAACGATTAGATACTGACAATGTGATACACTCTCCAAATCTTAGCTGGGAACACCGATAGTACCTAAGTACAGAATGGTGTTTAAACTTAACTGCAAATTGTGATATAGGTAATCTTATAAAGTGTAAATCAGTATGATTAGGTATTCCGTATTTTTCTGTTTTACCAGCGATGCCGGTTGCAAATTGTAAGAAGTACTTAACCGCATAACACTTCTTAAATATAAGGCACTGTCAGTGTCAGTACTGTTAACAAAATTTCAAAGAAACTATTTGGAGCACTACGCCACTGCTTGAAAATGTAACTTAACCTATAAATTTCTTTTGAAGTTTTTGAAACTAAATCACTAAATTAGATAAAGACAGCAATCACTATAGCTATTTCATAACTGACCGTCATGTAATAAAGATAGAGACAGAAAATGTCCGTGTCACAACTCTTTTCCAAAGTATATCTAGGGTCTCTACTATGTATAGCTTCTTAGCTTACGCTGGGTAAGCAAAACTGAGATAAAAATGTAGAATCTAAAATTTGACGTGATAAACAGAAGAAAAATTAAATTTGAAAACAATGAAAATGAAAAAAAATTATTTACAACATTTTAACAAATAAAGTTGGAACTTTAAGCCAAATAGTTGAGCAATTATAGAGACTTTATGGAAATTATGCAGATTCATATATGGACTTCTTCAAAAGAAAAACTTAATACATAAATCTTGTAAAATTCTTCGTAAAACACTTGTCATTCTACATCTATATTTGTGTTTATTAAATTTTTTAAATCTTTTAATTACATTTTTCCATTATTCATGTTGTTAATGTTCTCTGTACATATGTTAAATACGGTCGAAAATTAAAACCGAGAACCTACAAATTGCTTCCTTACCATTTATAATAAAACAAGCCCTTAAAATCTCAGGATAATTAGCCTCATACATCCTCACCATGGAAATGACTACTTCACCCGCTGCAACAAATTTTTACTTTACAGAACAGAAATATAATTCACAATCAAAAAGTTTTTCATCCGCAAAGATATTGTGTTGTACAAAGTTCAATAATCATAACAACACGGAAAACTTTTTGATCGTATGAATCTTTCATTACCTGGTCGCCAAACATACTGTCTCAAATTGAAGCCTTCCATATCAAATATAACTACAATCTTATGACCACTCTTTTCAGCAGCAAGTTGCATATATTTTTCTAACATTTGAATAGTCATTTTTACGAAAATTTGTCTACCAAAAGCATGTAACAAGCCTACAATGTCCAAATTCCCAAAAGGTACGATTATCACTAAAATAACAACTCAAAATTTCGAAAGTTTCTACAATCACTACAAGTAACTATTGAAAACAAACCAGGTGCTCCAGTTTTGTCATAACCTGTAGTTCCACAGGGATAATAAGGGATTAAATTTTCTGGCGGCTGCCACGTTTTTAATCCTTCGTCTACTTCCCACTGCTTGCGCCATTTCAAGGACTGTGAAGACCAATTTTATTTAACCTTACGAAAATATATTAAAAATATTTAAGAACCTGTCTAAGCATCTTTTCTGCTGCCTCTACATTCCACGAACGTGCTAAAACAGAATTTTGTTAACATATAGGACCACTTGTTGAACAGTATTAATTACCTCTCAGCCAACGAAGAAGAAATTTTTCATTGTGATGTGGCTGTATGACGTCAGAAACATTGCGCTTGAACTAAAAAATAAATCTGGATCTAATAATGATGTATAGAAGTTATTCGTACACATAAAATATTTCACTATTAACTTGTTCCACAACAGGTTAGATATGCCGGGTGTCTCTTAACAGTCAACTGGTGAGTCTGGGAAAAACAGTAAAAAAATCTTTCTCACATTTTGGTGGAGTTATAACGAACCATTGTATTAATGACTACTGGTTATGATTATTGTCCTAAAAAAGGTGGATTTCAGTGGTAATCACAAATCCGAAAGCCAAAGGTATTCACAGTTTAGGTAAGCGTAGTGTTGCCAAACTTACTTTTATAAAAATACGTTTTTTTCGTAATCTACATCAGAAAGATTTTTTTTATTATTTTTTTCAGACTCTTGGGACCCCCGCACATAACGTACTGATTTTTCCATTTTCCAGACACGGTATATATACCAACTATCAAAACTGTTAGTGAACAATAAATACAAAAAAAATCACAGCTTTTTATTGCAAATGAATCACGATTTATTTAATGATTTTTTGAGTTGACATCATCAAATATTCTGGAGGGGATTGATACTCGTACATAAATTTAGTTAATGTTCTGTACTTAATTTTTAACCCTAAAAATAGGAACGAACCTTATTACATAATCCAAAAAAGACGCATAATCAGTTTCAACAGGTTTCAATATCTTCGCGCATTACATAACATTCTATGACTAAAATTTGTATTAATTAGTTTTTGGAGTCAGGATGGAGGGAGGGTATTCTATGATCAATTCGTTCAATTAGCAACTAATTAAAATAGAAGAGTGATAATAAGTCTTCACAAACAAATTGTATAAAAATTCACAATGGTAACACAACAAGACTTCGTTAAAAAAGCAACGAACTCATTCTCTGAGATAATTTCCGAATATCAAAGATATTTGGACCATTTGATCTTATGATTTGACGACGTGATGTTGTTAAACTAAATATTGTTAACATACTGATTTGTGGATAGATCTATGTCCCTGAAAGAATGGAGTTTATCATGCAATACATAAGTCTCCTGAAGATCTTCACAAAACGACATCTATTTATCACAAACTTTTGTCCACAATGTTACATTTTGATTTCCTACTTACTAAATAATGGTATTCAGGGATACTGCGTTTAGTACGAAAACCTACCGGTATTACATGATCTTAAATATTTAACTAAGTCATTAATATCAGGGTGCAACAATCAAATTTCCAAATTTTGGTAACCGTTTTGTGTAGGTGTTACTCATCTTTTGTAGGTTAGATAAAAATTAGGTAGAAACTGGGTAGAAACACTAGAAACAACATTTTCTATTGTTATCTACATGACATAACACACTTTGACATTTTCAACATAAAATCGTTTCAGAGAATAATTTTTCACAATGTCTGAAGAAGAATCACATACATCCAGTGAAGAAGAAGGTCAGACAGTTAAAGGGCCAAAAGAATTCATTGTTGAAGAACTATCCGACAGTTCCGATTCTTCAGTGGCTGAGTAAGGAAACTAATCCACTTTAACTAATATTTTGACACTCTACATTTTAAGAACCTCTTCCGAAGATGAGCAAAGAGAACGTCCAAAGCCCGAAATTCCTCCCGAGTATTGGCATATTCAGAAATTAGTGAAATACATGAAGTCTGGGAACCAAACGGCAACAGTCATATCGTTATGTTGTTTGAAGGACCACGATTTAAGCACAGAAATCAATCAAATGGCCATTCAAGTCTGTATTGCCACTTAACGCCTGAAAAAAATTACATTTGTGATTTTAGGATATAGGTGGTCTAGAAGTCCTAATAAATTTGCTTGAGACGAAAGACCTGAAATGTAAACTTGGTGCCTTGAGTGTTTTAAGCGAACTGTCTTTAAATGAACAAATTCGAAGATGCATTACAGATCTTGGTGGAATTTCACTTCTCGTACAAAACCTTACAGATCCTGCCAGAGATTTACAGATCCTTGTAGCAGAAACTATTTATAATGTAGCTCAAATAAGGAAAGCACGTAAACATGTCAGGAAATTTGACGGTATACCTAAACTCGTCGACCTGTTAGATGTTAACGAAAACTGTCTGAAAACTCCTAAAGACTTACTAACTCCAGACGAATTAGAAAACGTAAATATTGCTAAAGCGGCAGCAAAAGCTTTATGGTCGGTTTCCAGAAGTCGAAAAAATATTCAAGTTATGATGAGAAGTGGTTCTGTACCACTTTTAGCAAAACTGTTACGGTAAAAAATAAAAACTGTCAATACGTGTTTATTGGTAGGTACATCTATTAACGTTAGGTCGGTACACATGGATGTTATTGTTCCCACTGTGGGTACCATTTCGCAGTGCGCAAATGAACCATCTTACCAATTAGCAATCCAAACAGAAGGAATGGTTAAAGATATCGTCCAACATTTGGCCGCCGAAGTAAGTATGAGTGAAGTATGTCCTTCAGTATATGACAGTTTTTGCCACTTCTATTGAAACAACACTTATTGATCGTAAATTTGGCAACATTCATATTCAGACAATTTTCTAACTAAAAGCTGTTCTCAATTAAAATATTTTAAGACAATAATTCAAACAAGTTTTTGAGTTTTTTTTCTAACATACTTCCAAAGCATTGATGTGTATTTTTCAAAACAACAGGGAATAAGCCCATACTTCTTTTTATATGTTCAGAGTTAAAACAAATTTCTCGGTATGTACAGATAGTTTTTCACTTCTGCTTTAGGATCCTTCTTTAAGAAGACACTGCGCTGAAACAATTTTTAAGTGTGCTGAAGATGCTACCACTAGAAATTTGGTACGACAAGCTGGCGGACTAGATCCTCTGGTTAATATGGCGAAAGATCCGGCAACTAGAGAAAATAAACCTTTATTAGCAGCAGTTACCGGTGCTATCTGGAAAACGGCTATCAGTGCGGAAAATGTTGAAAGATATGATCAGTTAAAAACAGTGGAAGTGTTAGTAAAGCTTCTGGAGAATGCGGACGAAGATGAAACGGTTTTAAAAAATGTAGTGGGTGCTCTTTGTGAATGTTTAAAGTTTACACATAATAGAGAAGTCTTAAGACAAGTTGATGGTATCCCTTATCTAGTTAATCTTCTAAATTATACATTTCCTCCTCTTCTGGAAAACGTTCCTATGGTTCTTCGAGAATGTGCGGAAGACGAAAATTCCATGAGAATAATTGAGGAACTCGACGGAGTTAGGCTAATTTGGTCTCTTCTTAAGAATGATTCACCAAAGGTACTACCTAATAAACGTATTTTCTTTTACATCACCATATAAGTTACTGATGACAGATTCGGACCGGTTGTTGTCAAATTTTATACGTGTATTATAAATATCATGTAGAAGGTAAAACACTAACCAAAGTTTGTCTAATCATCCCCACTAATAATGTGATGACGTCGCCTCAAAACTATATATAGTCAATGGGCTTTAATTGTGTCAAATAACATAGTCCTACAAGTGTTGAGTTTTACCCGAAACGTTAAAAGTTTCGAAAAAAAATATCGAAATTATACATATAACATTTATATGTTTTAAAGTTATCATAAGCATGGTAAATTTTTAATCAAAATATATCTGTTTATTCCTTCCAAAAAAACTGATGACGTTACATTTACTTCAACATTACATATATTTACTTCAGCTTATAGGGGCCGTCATACAAAAAAAAATAAAATTGGCAACATCAAATTTTACAGTTTTTCAAAAATGTTGTATCTTTCATTGTACTTCTGATGGAATCTCGGGTGTTATTCACATTTCAATGATCTAATTTATCATCTCTCAAAATAAAATAACTAGTAACACTTTTATTGCAGGTTCAAGCAAATGCAGCCTGGTCCTTGGTCCCCTGCATAAGGTATGCAACCGATTCCGGGGAAATGGTCCGATGCTTCGTGGGGGGCTTAGAACTCATTGTAAATTTATTAAAATCCGAGAACTGCCATGTCCTTGCTTGCGTATGTGCCGCCATTGCAGAAATAGCGAAAGATATTGAAAATCTAGCCGTTATCACTGATCATGGCGTAGTTCCAATGTTGGTAAATTTAGTACACACGCAAAATGTGGAATTGCGAGAACACTTAGCATCCGCAATTGCTTATTGTTGCGCATGGGGATCTAATTGCAAAACTTTCGGACGGTGAGTGAACACTATAATTGAACCGTTATTAAAAAAAACTTTTACTTAAAATTATTTCACTTAGGCATTAATTGACTTACATTGTGCTACTTTTTTACAGATTGGGTGCAATAACTCCATTGGTAGCATACATGGCTGATTCAAATCCAAAAGTTCATAGAACCACTGCATTAGCTCTTTTTCATTTATCGAAAAATGCTTTTAATTGTATAACAATGCACGAAAGCGGAGTTGTACCGTTTTTACTTAAAGCCATTGCGACTACTGACTGGGATTTACAAGAAGCAGCAGCTGGATGCTTAGCCAATATAAGAAAATTGGCCTTGGAAGCGGAAACAGTTCACCTTATAAGGGCAAGGGACGCATCGACAGAAGAAGATGATTAGCCTATTTTCAAGATTCATCCCCTTTGCTCTTAATTACACATTATCTAAAATGCAAATTTAATATTACTTACATATTAAATTACGAAAAATTGTGTATATATATTTACAATACATTCTTTCAAAATAACACGATTTTTTCCGTTTCAACTAGGAATTAGTTGCCACAATGTAATACAATGTAAAACATGTAGTGACATTGTCGTCATGTGCTTACTTATTTTGGAATGTTATGCAGACGATATTGGTCTTGACGTCTGTAGTGTTGGCAACATGTCATAAGAAGTTTGGGCTTGATAATTGAATTTTACGAATTACAAAGTAAATAAAGATAATAACTATAAATTATTTCTGTGTTTATAGGCTGTAGTATCTGAACGGATAGGAGAAAATACCACGAAAGAAAAAACCAAAATAAACCACTTTTTTATGGAAAACCGTCAAGAACACCGGTTCATAATTATTACTAGTTGTAAATGGTACCAAATTTACAATTACAATTTCCTTCGCAGACTGAACTTTTTTGTTTTTGTTCAATAAATAAGATATTTATCATTCAGTTTTTTATACTGTTGCTACTTGTTAACATTTTTAATAATAATTTACTAAACTAGTTGTTAATCGCCCATCAACAAACGAGTTTATTACAGTATTTTTTCGTTGAGCGCAAACTCTTTTATTCTGGTGACAAAATGGGGTATTATTTATTTGTTAAATAAATGCAAAAGCTAATCGAAAACACTGCGAAGCAGTGAATAATGATAATGAATATTTAAAATTCGAACTAATATTAGTAGCGAAAAAATAGCGTTCCAACGCATGCCGGTAACGGCTCGCTTTATAAACCGGATAATTTCACTTGTAGTTATTTAAAACGGAAATATGGGTAAATATTTTTTAAACACATAATTTTTAATGGGAGATTCAAAAGTTGCGTCTCATTTTCTCTAGTAACCATTAGTTTATAAAATAAAATCTAAAAATGTTTTTTTTTCTTTTACATAAATTACCTTTTACGAGTTTTTAATGTAGTTTATCTATGCATATTATTACCACAAATACGTAACTCCGGGATCTTTTAAACTATGTTTTGTGTGGTGCCACTGACAAAACAAGTAGTAAACTAAAAAGAATAAATAAAAATATACATTTGCTTTAGTGAAGGCCAACATGTTGACCCAACCTCCTTTATTTAGACGTTTGCAATTAATTAAATATTTTCAAGTGTATCTATATAGAAATAACCGTCAATGTAGATAGTGCCTCAGTTTATTGCACAGCCCCGTAGCTACGGGGGGGCAAGAGGGGGCTGAGCCCCCCCTAGCAGTTGTGGTTGCCCCCCCTGGAAGACTTATACATTATAAATTTCAAATTAGTAATAAAATTTCAATATAATGCCGATTGCCGAAGCATATTAACTGGCCCCACCCACCCCACCTTTATTTTCGTACAGGGTATATTATTTGGCAATATCACCTTACCGTTGATGTTGACCGTATAAAAAAATGAACATGTCACATTTTATTCCATAGCCTACTATGTAGGTACTTGAGAAAAGTCAAAAATATTATATGGATTTTCTAAAAATTGAGCTTTTATTGAAATGGACAAAAAATAGACAAAAAATTCTGAGATGTAGATCTCGATGAGCTTAATCAAAAAACATAAGGTCTTGATGGCCCCAGACCAAGATTTTTCAAAAATTCGGTTCCAAAGTCGACATTTCAAAATTTCTGAAAAATTACATTTCTTTTGGCGGCTCTGGAAAAATTGTACGAATTTTCGAAAAAATAAAACCAAAAAAAAAACATTTGGAGATCGAAATCAATAAAAAGATCCCTTCTGCTAGTTTTCGAAAATGCGTGGGAAAAGTCAAATTTTTTTTATAGATTTTCAAAAATTGAGCTTTTGTTGAAATTGGCTGAAAATCTACAAAAAATTCTGAGATGTAGATCTCGACGAGTTTAGTCAAAAAACATAAGGTCTTGCTGCTATTCGGTTTCCAAGTCGAATTTTTAAAATTTCTCAAAAATTATACTCCTTTTTCTTTTGACGATTCTAGAAAAATTTCACAAATTTTCGATCAAATAAAACCAAAAACAACATCTGAAGATTGAAATAAATAAAAGAAAGACTTTTGGTAATTTTTGGAAATGCTAAGAAAAGTCAAAATTTATTTAGTTTTCAAAAATTGAGCTTTTGTTAGAGTTGACAAAAAATTCTGAAATATAGATCTCGATGAGCTTAATCGAAAAACATGTTCATGCTCCCGGAGCAAAATTTACGAAATATTGGGTTCTACCTAAAATTTCTAAAAAATCTCAAAAGTGACTTAAAAAAAAGTTATTTCTTTATGCGATTGTGGAAAAATTCGACGAAATATCAAAAAAATAAAACCAAAAATAACATCTGTAGATCGAAATCAATAAAGAGATCCCTTTTGCTAATTTTCGAAGATGCTTGGGAAAAGTCAAAAAATGTATATGGATTTTCAAAAATTGAGCTTTTGTTGAAATTAACAAAAAATCAACAAAAAATTCCGAATTGTAGATCTCGATGAGCTTAATCCAAAAACATAAGGTCTTGATGGTCCCAGACCAAGATTTTCGAAAAATTCGGTTTCAAAGTCGACATTTCAAAATTTCTCAAAAATTACATTTCTTTTGGCGGCTTTGGAAAAATTGTACAAATTTTCGAGAAAATAAAACCAAAAACAACATTTGGAGATCGAAATCGATAAAGAGATCCCTTTTGCTAATTTTCGAAAACGGTTGGGAAAAGTCATAAACATTTTATAGATTTTCAAAAATTTAGCTTTTGTTGAAGTTGACTAAAAATCCACAAAAAAATCTGAAATGTTGATCTCGACGAGCTCAATCAAAAAACACAAGGTCTAGATGGTCCCAGATCAAGATTTTCGAAACATTCGGTTTCAAAGTTCAAAAATTACATTTCGTTTGGCGATTGCTGAAAAATTGTACGACTTTTCAACCAAATAAAACCAAAAACAACATCTGGAGATCGAAATCAATAAGGGAATCCCTTTTGGTAATCTCGAAGGTGCTTAAAAAAAAGTCAAAAATTTGATACAGGTTTTCAAAAATTGCCATATTTCTTCCGTCGATTCTGGAAAAATTGTAAGAATTTTCAAAAAAATTGAATCCAAAAGGATTTTTGGAAATCGAGATGAACAAAGGAGTCTCTTTTGATAATTTTTAAAAATGCTTGGGAAAAGTCAAAAATTTTATATGGGTTTTCAAAAATTGAACTTTCGTAAAAGTTGACAAAAAATTCTGAAATATAGATTTGGACGAGCTTAAAAAAACATGACAGGTTCATGGTTCCGGATCAAAATTTTCGAAATTCTCGGTTTCGAGCTCGAATTTTCAAAATTTCTCAAAAATTACCATATTTCTTTTGGCGATTGTGGAAAAATTGTACGAATTTTCGAAAAAATAACCAAAAACAACATCTGGAGATCGAAATCAATAAAGGAATCCCTTTTGGTAATCTCGAACGTGCTTAAAAAAAAGTCAAAAATTTGATACAGGTTCTCAAAAATTGCCATATTTCTTCCGTGGATTCTGGAGAAATTGTAAGAATTTTCAAAAAAATTGAGTCCAAAACGATTTCTGGAAATCGAGATGAACAAAGGAATCTCTTTTGATAATTTTTGAAAATGCTTTGGAAAAGTCAAAAATTTTATATGGGTTTTCAAAAATTGAACTTTCGTAAAAGTTGACAAAAAATTCTGAAATATAGATTTGGACGAGCTTAAAAAACATGACAGGTTCATGGTTCCGAATCAAAATTTTCGAAATACTCGGTTTCGAGCTCGAATTTTCAAAATTTCTCAAAAATTACCATATTTCTTTTGGCGATTGTGGAAAAATTGTACGCATTTTCGAAAAAACAACCAAAAACAACATCTGGACATCGAAATCAATAAAGGAATCCCTTTTGGTAATTTCGAATGTGCTTGAAAAAAGTCAAAAATTTGATACAGGTTCTCAAAAATTGCCATTTTTCTTCTGTCGATTCTGCAAAAAATTAAGAATTTTCAAAAAAATTGAATCCAAAACGATTTTTGGAAGAAATCGAGATGAACAAAGGAATTCTTTTGGTAATTTTCGAAAATGCTTGGGAAAAGTCAAAAATTTTATATGGGTTTCCAAAAATTGAGCTTTTGTTAAAGTTGACAAAAAATTCTGAAATACACATCTCGACGAGTTTAAAAAAACATGACGAGTTCATGGTTCCGTACCAAAATTTTCGAAATATTTGGTTTCGAAGTCGGATTTTTAAAATATGTACTAAACATGCAAAAAAATAAACTCAAACAAATTGGATGTTACCTATATGGTCACTACACAAATTTTTGGATGCAGTACAGCTGTTTGTGAATCTACATTCTCTGTTTAACCAGCATTTTAACCAAGTACCGTACTAATTTTTTGGACTTCGACAGGTTTTTACGAAAATTTAGCGTGAAAAATCGACGTTTCCAATTATTTTAATGTTCTTTCAAATATAAAAACTCAGAAAAAATAAAGTAGTTATCTGAGTGTATTATTAAAATATAAATATTTACATGAAGCCCCCTCTGTCGACAAACTTGCCCCCCTTGAATAAGTTTTCTAGCTACGGGGCTGTTATTGCACAATTTTAACCACCTGGAGAACTAATAAACGAATTCGTTTAATTCGATCAGAGATTTCATTTCTTTTTAAAACGGAATTAAACTAATACCTAAATTAATTACCCTTTTTATTTTAAACGAGTTTAAACATTTCCGTCGCTTTCTGATACGTGACCAGTATCTCGTGCATATCGAGGGGGAATCCGAATTACGCACATGACCTGACAAAGATCGGAGTTGCGCCCTTTTACCGCTTGGAAAATGTCCGAATTGCTCCCTTACCGTGTTCTTAGACCCTACTAATGCAAGTAAAAAATCCATTGGAAAATCCAGTGGTGTGTGAAGTATTAAAGCAATTTGATTTTCTGTAATGAAGAAAAACACCATATTTAGAAATTATGAAAAAAAAAACCCTGGAACAAAATTTTACCTGCTTCATGAGGGATAAATCGGGATAGATGTGATATTTCCAGATACAGTTAAAAGTGCGCAATTCGGACTTTTTGAGCTCGAAAACTCAGATAGCGGGCGCAACTCGGATAGGTCAGGTCAGGATAGTCAGTTTGTATATGTCCGCTAATAAAAAAATATTCCATACTAAAACATGTATATGAAGTACCCGAAGTTGGTAATTACTAATTATATTACAAATAAAAAGTAATTGACTCACTTCGATCAAATTACAGTTCCGGACGCTATATTATGGAAGAGATACAGAATTTTATTACGTTCATTTTTAGACACTGAATTGCCTATGCAAGAAAAGAGAGTGCTCATAGGCACCGTTAGAAAGTAAGTCCTCATTGTTCATTTTAATTAGTATGTAGTACATAGTAACATGATCATTTACAAGTAACACAATTAGCGTCCAACACTCTTTGTCCCGAACGTTTGATTACACGTTATACAACTAAAATTTTCTTTGATGCATCTCTTCTGTCCTGTCACGAAAATCAATAGCTAAGAAAAACTAGAATATTTATTATGGAGTGTTAAAACTTATTTTTGTATTTAGAATTAATGAGAACTTTAACGTCATAAATCTATGTTTATTAAACGATTATCTTGAATTTAACCGTTTCGTTGTCATTTGACCAGTCATTGACCAAGCATATTTCACAATAACATAACAAATCGGCCAACTTTACATTAATCCGTTATACAAACATTCGCTGGACCGTGTGATAAGACTTGTTGTTTTTTCCCGATGTTTTTTTTTCACTTCCCAGATATAAGTAAGAAGTATCATGTTTCCATATTCATGTCAATTTATTATATAAGACAGATATTCTCCTAAACTGCCGAGACCAACTGTTGTCAAATTGTAGAGGTATGTAGGAATGACAAAATTTTACATGGTAAATGCTATTAAATTTTATAAAATATATAAAATACTGCTGTACTTGTGGCTTATGAATCCGTCTTGAATTTTTACCTTCGCATCGAGATTTTTCACAAGACAAATCAAAATTTTTAATAACAACATTTTATTATTATTAGTATTCTTATTATGTCAGTTAATTAACATATTTAAACCCAATTACAGACCAAAAAAAAACTGATAATATAGACAACAGCAAATGATTTGTTTTTACCTATTTAAGCTACTAAATTAATATTATCGGCAAATCCAAGGTAGGATAATTTATAGTTATTATGTTATTAAAATATTTAGTGCGTGAAGGTAAGTTTAAAACCTACCGGTGTTGCAAGGGAACAATTATTTTTTTTGTTGTTGGTCTCCTTAGTGATGCATCGCTATGGAAAATGCGATTTGTTTTGTAAACAAACCTGAATGACTTGAATGCTTAAAAAAATACACAGTTGTGAAAATCAAATTCCGGCAAATGTATTAGAAAAAGCCAAATTTTTACGAGAAAAACTGTTACCTTTGAAACCTGTGAATATTTACGAAAAGGTATATTCAAGTTTTTGTCAATAGCAACAAAGACCACCGTTTTTCCTTACATTTCTATACATATTTAATCTAAAAGGTGGGGTTTTATGTAGCCGCTGACATTGTCAACTGTATCACATGTGGTCTCTATTTAAACTCATATTTCTTTTCCAGATGTTCCGTAGTGGGGGTTTTTCTAGACTACACATTGCGACTTCCGCTTCCGGGCTTTTCTTTAGCGAACGCCGCCCGGCCGCCGTCACCGACGATGAGTCACCATCATCGCCGTGCATACTAGACAGCCCTCGAGAAAACCCACAGGCGTCGTACCGGGGCGGCGTATGGGTTTATTTCGTAATGTGAATTTCATTTTCACATAAATGAGAAGTGAGCTTTCCAGTGTTTCTTATTCATGCTAAATTTTATCAGCAGTTGATGGTGGTTCTGTTATTGTTTTGTATTAATTTGACTGAATAAACAATTAATATTATCGCTATTGGTAGCGTGTTTTAAGAACACGTCGTTCATGGTAACGTGTTTTAATAGTATATTATGATATTAGTTTATAATGCAAAGGATTATGGCATGAATGAAAGTTTAGCGCATGAGCGCAACGAATGTGCTAATTTCATGAATGCTATAATCCCGCATTATAATATTACGAGATAATTTCGTTAAAGCATCCAATTATGTAATATGATGAGCTATTTTTTTCTGAAGTTTTCATAATTTGTTGATGCCGTATTAACTTATTAAAAATTATACCCAGAAACCTTATTATGCATGTAGCTTCTCAGATCTATTTGGCAATAACTTAAATGAAAAGCAGAAAACAGATAATAATCAAGATTTGTTTAAATTATGACTAACAACAAACAATGGGGGATAGATAAGATAAGAGAGTGGATGAGAAAGGAACTATTAAACTGTTTCTTCTACCACGTGACCGTTGTGTTTATTATTATATTATTTAGATAAGTATACGTTACATGTAACAACATTGCTTTTAAATTAGTAGAAATCGGTTTTAAAGCCGCCGTTATCAAAGTACGTCCAATAATCAAGGTTTGTGTAATATTGTGTAGTGGAACTGTTATCCTTAAGATTAAGACTTAGTTACATACAAATCCAGGTGTGACAGAGTTCGCCAAAATGATTTTTCTATATTTATTTTAATAACGTAACAATCACTCTTCTGAATAGTTGTAGCAAAATTGTATGTAGGTACTTAACTATTGTCAGATGTGAAAGCTGTTAATAACAGTCGTGGAGGAATAGGTGTACCACTTCCCTACTGAAAACGGTTCAGTTCGACAGCCTGACTTCTCTTTAAATTAAATTAAACAAAACTATCTCTATTACATTTTCATCAAAATATGACCAAGATTTAAACAATGCGGATACAGTTATCTCATATACAATACAAAAGACAGTGATCAAATAAAAATAAAACTAATAACGCAACAAAAATATCGTAATAACTGGAAATCTGCATGGACAGAAAACGACAAAACTAAAATATACTTTTTTATTTCCTACTTACCTACATTGAAAAAGTAAAAGTGCTTTAGAAAATAAATTAATGTTAATAAATTATTACCTTCATCAGCGTGAATCTTTGATGATCATCTAACGAAAGACCGTTCGAAGCCATTTCGAGTCAAAAAGGTACACAATTCGAGAACTATAAACCGCGGACCATTGACAAGACCATCAAAATGAATAACAAATCACAACACTCTGCTGCGTGTATTTTTTTTCATGAACGTACCTCCTTTTCGCTCATTGTTGGGAGCACAGGTTGGGAGAAAGAATAGAGAGGGGATAGCTAAAATGTGCCGCTATTAGGCAATCATATATACATAGACGGATCAAAAATTTCACTAGCTCACTGTGTTGAAAAGAATTAAAACACGAAAATTGATTATTCAAGTGTATTTGTAGTTATACATACTATTCACAAATTATTACATAAACCATGGTGAAAATAAGACGTGATAAGAACGTACCTTTCATGACCGACAGCATTATTGGTTGCCTATTATTCATTATTCAAGTTGCCAAGCTTAAGTGTTTACTTATTTTTATTTTATCTGTTTATACATATTGTAGTTGTACGTTACATTTCACGTTCTTGACATAAAAATCAAACCTGCTTTATTCCTACGTTTCTTGAGAAAACACCACTCTGTATTAATACCGCCCGTGAAGCGTAGAACACAGGGTTGAATCCATGGAGGTAGAATACGAGAAGGGAAGGGAGAAGTTTGAAAAAGGGACTGGTATAGTTTAGCCCACAATACTCTGATAATGGAATTGTCACGGGTACTCAACTCAAGTACGGATTTGTTAGACCATGGTACAAAACTGTCAAGCTGCAGATGAGTTGCTTATTCTCGTGGGGTGCTTTGTAGTGGCTAATTTGAGTGCACAAAAATATTAGTTATGTATTATACAAGTGACAAAAATAAGCCAGTATAGGTGAGTGAGTATGTATGACACGAGCACATAGTGCGAGTGTTATACTGACTCACGAGCTTATAATGGCATTTTTGTCACGTGTATAATATTAAATTTTCTCTTATACCTGCTTATATTCTTTAATTTCCTTCATAAAATGTAAATATATTCGGAATCAAAATATGCAGTTGGCGGCAGTTACTATAACAGAACTGTAAATAAACAATTGTGGAATTTAAAAAAACTGTCATCAAGTTTTATCAAAGAAAAAATAATGGAAATTCCAGTAGAAATCCGTAAAAAGGCATTAAGTGTGGTGCAGAATTTGCTTCCTGATACTTCCAAAGAGCTATACGATCGTGAATATCAACTGTTTAAGCAATGGATGAGGGACAGGTCAACAGACGTTATTTGTGGACCAGGGAGCTGACATGACTACGCTTAAAAGGTTTGGTGGATAGTCCTCTGATAAAGTTGCAACAGGCTACGTGGAAGATTCTTTAGAGCAGAAGATAAAAATTGTCCGAAAATACTAATAGATTCTTCTGTCAGTGTGTCTTCATGTGATGTTGTGGAAAATGGTGTGCAAACGGCGACGAAGGAGTTAAACTTCAAGGACCATCGACTGGTTCTGCATCAGTTTTTGAATTTCATAAATGCGTTGTACATTTTCATAATAAATAGTGGTTTATTAGTAAATTCGTAAAGCAATGAAATACTGGTCTCTTAGCAATCAATATCTCATTTGATAAGATACTGAAATCAGTATCTTATTAGATGATATATTGATGTATTTTAGCAACGCCAAACAATGCTAATAATAGTCTGACTCAGAAAAATATTATCAAAAATACGTAATACCATTGTTTAAGTATATTATAGTTGGACAACCTATACGGACAATCACATTCCCATGTAGAAAAGAATGAATATATATTTTACATCTCACTCGCTTCACTATGAAGTGGCGGTACCTTACGAAAGGGGGTAAAAATAGTCCGTAAGCACGTGATGCCGATAAGGTAGTAAACGGACGTATTAATCAGTACGTTGTACGGGGAGCAGTCACAAATGGTCACAAAATAAGCAAACGTACGTGTTGAAGACTATACTGTAATATATGCGTCCCTTCTTCCACTTTAAAGGTATACGAAATTAAACGACCACTACTTTAATTAATAAGTAACAAGTCAAGAATAACTATGGATTATCATCAAACTATGAATACCAAATTAATTCAATATGAACATCTTCTTACGTATTTTTTTTATTAACAGTAGTCAAATCATTAAATACATATTATTTTTGAAACTAAAATGCATTTTATCCTAAGATTGTATCACAAAATATTCATCACCATTTAAATATATACGATTTAGACATCAAGAAATAAATTTAAAATTGCAAAAATTATACTAAAACAGCCTTAAATGTGTCTTGTATGTACGTGCTTATCAGTATGTAGGCATTTTAACGCACAGCAATAATCGTTCTTGATGAGTAATGACTGATGACTACTGTAACACAGTAAATCCTCGAAATTGAAAATTTAAAACACTGAAAAATTCAAATATGGGAAAATTGTAAAATCGAGAAATCGAAACATAAAAAAATAAAAAAAATTAAAATTGGAAAATCTAAAATTTAAAAATCGAGAAATTGAACAATCGGTTAATTCAAAAATCGAAACATCGAAAAATTGGAAAATCGAAAAATAAAAAAAAAATTGGACAATCGAAAATTTAAAAATTCCGAAAATTGAAAAATTGAAATATAGAGAACTGAAAACTCAAAAAATCGAAAAAAATTAATAATTTCAAAAATTGAAAAGTTAAAATTGATAAATCGAAAAACTGAAAAATCACAAAATTTAACGAAATATCAAAAAATTAGGAAATTAAAAAATTGAGAAACAAAAAAGTCAAAAAAGCAGAGTCTAAAAATCGCAAACTTAAAAAATCGAAAAATTGAAAAATCAGAAACCTGAATAATCGAAAAATTGAAGAACTGAAGAACTGAAAAATCGAAACTTTAGGAAGTGGAGAAATGGGAACATAAAAAAAATAGATTAATTGAGAAATCTGAAAACTAAAAATTCAGAAACGTCAAAATTTGAACAATAAAAAAATATTGAAGAACTAAAAAATCGAAAAATCTAAAATTTAAAACACTGAAAAGTTAAAATATCCTAAACCTGAAAAATGAAGAAATCCAAACATCAAAAAATCAAAAATAAAAATAAAAATCTAAAATTTAATAATCGAAAAACTGAAAAATCAACGAATCGAGAAATCGAGAATTTAAAAATTGCACAATTGAAAAATCGGATAAATCAAAAATCAAAACATCGAAAAATCGAGAAACCGAAAAGCAAAAAATCGAAAAATAGAAACATTGTAAAATTCAAAAATTGAGACATCGAGAAATCGAAAAATCAAAAGACAAAAAAAATCGAGGCGTCGAAAAATCGAGAAGTCGAAAAATCAAAAAATTGAGAAACCGAAGTAGGCCAAAATCGAAAAATCGAAAACTTAAATATGGAAAAATTGATAAAGCGAGATTGAATAATCAAAACATCGAAACATCCGAATCTCAATGAATTGAGATCTCAAAAAATTTAAACATTCGTAAATTTAAAAAATTAAAATATAGAACTGGAAACTCGAGAAACTGAAAAATCTAGAAATTTAAAAATTAAAATATGAAAAAGTTGAAAAATTGAGAAATTGAAATAAAAAACAAAAAACTGAAAATCCAAAAATAAAAAATAGAAAAATCTAGAAGTCGAAAAATGAAAGAATCGAAGTATTGAAAAATATCAAAACTGAAAGAAATATCCAAAAATTGAGAAATCGACAAACCAATAAAGCGAAGTCGAAAAATCGAAGAATTGAAGAACTGAAAAATCGAAACTTTGAGAAGTGGGAAAATCAAAAATAGATTAATTGAGAAATCAGAAAACTGAAAATTTAACGCAAAAATTTGAAAAATTGAAAAATTTAAATACTGAAGAACTGAAAAGTCAAAAAATCGAGAAATCGAAAAAACTAAAATTTAAAACAACGAATAATTAAAATATCGCAAAATTGAAGAATCGAGAGATCCAATTCAATTTGAAAAATTGAAAAATCGGGGCATTGAAAAATTGGAAAATCCAGAAATTGAAAAGCTCAAAAGAAAAAAATCGAAAAACCGAGAAATCCAAAAATCGAAACATCGAAAAATTCAAAAACTGAGACTTCGAGAAATCGAAAAATCGGAGGATCGAGAAATTGAGGAGTCGGAAGCCGAAAAGGAAAGTTAAAAATTGAAAAATTGAGAAATTGAACAATCAAAACAACGAAACATCTGAATTCGATAAATTGAGAAATTAAAAAACTGAATAATCGAAAAATTTTAAAAAAGAAAAACTGGAAAATCAAAAATTAAAATTCAAAAAATCGAAAAATGAAAAATTGAAATAAAGAAGAACTGAAAACTCGAGATATCGAAAAACCTAGAATTTTACAAAATGGAATATTAAAACATCGAAAAGTTTAAAAATTGAGAAATCGAAACATTAAACAGTCCCAGAATTGAAAAGTTTACAATAAATTGAAAATCCAAAAAGGAAAAAAGCGAGAAATCAAAAAAAATCCATCAATTCAAAAATCGAAAAGTCGAAAAATTGGAACATTGAAAAATTTCATAACTGAAAGAAATATTCAAAAAATTGAGAAATTAAAAAATTGGAAAATTGAGAAATCGAAAATCTAAAACAGCAAAATTGAAAAATCGTAATCTTAAAAAATCGAAAAATTGAGGAATTGAAGATGTGAAAAATCGAAACTTTAGGAAATCCAGAAATGGACAAATAAAAAAAATACTTTAGAAATCGGCAAACTGAAAATTTAGAAACGTGAAAATTTGAAAAATTGAAAAATCGAAATATTTAAAAACCATAAAATTGAAGAGGACAACAATTGAGAAATCGTATCATTGAAACATCGTAAGATTGAGAAATCGAAAAATAAAAAAATTGAGAAATAGAAAATTTAAGGAATGGAGGAATCGGAAAAGCCCAAAATTGAAATATTGAAAAATTGAGACATTTAAAGTTGAAAAATCGAGAAATCGACAAGCCGAAAAATCCCAATAGCGTATTTAGGTATAAATCACAAGATCAGGACTATTCTACTTTTTAAAATTTAAATACATAACATTATAAATTGGAAAATGTTGATTTTTTTTTCCAAAAATCTTGACGTCTAATGTGAAAACTCGACACGGATACATAAACCGTAAACGGGGCGAAACTACAATTTTACTATTGTAAAATTTGGAGATTGC